GCCCAACAGGTCAGAGTGCTAATGGATGTTCTGAAAGTCTACAAGGAATTCTCAGGGCAAAAGGTGAACATGTCCAAATTCTCAGTGTTTTTCAGTAGAAATACTCCCATTCAATTAAAGCTCTCTGTCTGCAATACTATAGAGGGGATTGAGGCTCACAACTCTACAAGGTACCTTGGCCTTCCTCTAGGAATTGGTAATTCTAAGAAGGAGACTTTTGCTTACATCACTGAGGCTGTGAAGAAGAGGCTGAATAATTGGAAGAACAAGTATTTAATATTTATCCACTGCGGGGAAAGAGGTCCTTATTAAGGCTGTAATCAATGCTTTACCTGTTTTTTTAAAGGCTTGCTTTAAATTACCAGTGAGCATTTGTGAGAAGCTGAGCAGGCTAACTGCCTCTTTCTGGTGGAGCAAGGGTACAAGTACTGAGAGAGACATTCATTGTAAGAAATGGGATTATCTAGCACAAACAAAATGTTCTGGTGGATTGGGATTTCAAGATTACAAGCTTATTAATGAATCTCTCCTACTGAAACAACTGTGGAGGATCACCACTAGACCTGAGCTTTTAGTTAGCCAAGTTCTCAAAACCAGGTACTACCCATCTTCTTCTATTTTTGAGGTGAAAAAGAATAACTCAGCTTCTTGGTTATGGAACAACTGGGTTGTTGTCATCCCTATCTTTGCTAAAGGCTTGCAGAAGGAAATTGGAGATGGGAGGCTAACCAAAATCAGTTATCATAGCTGGGTTCCCATAATTTAACATGCTAGACCTGTTTTCTTAGACTCTGAAAGGCAAAATCCTATTTGGGTGCATGAGCTATTGGAGGAAGATGGCCTCAGCTGGAATGAAGGTCTTCTGAGGCAGCTTTTCAATGACTCTGACAGACTGGCAATTATGTAGATCTCAACCATGTCACCAGAAAAGTCAGACAGATGGAGATGGTTTTTTTACAGTGGAGGTAAGTTCTCAGTTGCTAGCTCTTTTAAACACTTATTGAACCAGAAGCTTCTTTTGGTGGATGAAGCTGAAAGCAGCCATTCTGCTTTGGTGGATAAATGTGCTAGAAACAGAACTTGGAAACTGACAATTAAAGGGAAAGTGAAACATTTCTTGTGGAAATGTTTCACCGGTTCTTTGCCAGTTAGCACCAAAATTAGCATAAAAGGTATTCAGGTAGATGTGGTGTGCCATATGTGTGGAGAGCAGACTGAGAGTATTGAACATCTTCTACTCTCATGCAGTAGGGCTCAGAAAGTTTGGAAAATATCCCATGTGGAGTGGGAGGACCAGCTTTTGCCAAACTAGTCATTTAAAGTTTGGTGGTGGAAAGTATGTGCACTGGGGCCGAAGCTAGAATTCAACTATCCACGTACATATTATGGTGGCTTTGGCGGTCTCGAAATTTGTGGTTGTTCGAGAAGGTGTGGAAGCCGGAAGAGATTGTAGTGCGAGGGGCATGAAGGGAATGGCAAGAGTTTGCAAGTTTGCATTGATAGCTTTGTATAGCTGCTTCTGTTTTGTTTGAGTTCTTTGTTGCTTAGAGGT